CAGCAGCAGCATCAGCAAAGGCAGCACAATCAACAGCAGCGGCACTAGCAGCATTGGCAGCACCATCAGCAGCAGCACCATCAGCAGCAGCACCACCGACAGAAGCAGCAGTAATAAGAGCAAATTAGAAACGACAGCAGAAAGAAATATATTAAACTCTACCCAACGGTTGTGAAAATTGGAGAAACTCTTGACCAGGATATGCTTAATTATTATTGGGTCACTGACGATCAGAACCGGGCATTGGAAGTCATACGTCCTAAACAAGAAAGAGTTACAAAAGAGAAAAGAAAGCATCAACAGAATTATTAACTTGCTTTATTAGAGATGGTGACAGATGGGATGACATAAAATATAATCTGATATCGTACAAATTTAAGTTAAAATATATATAAACTATTGTTGAGTTGTGGCTCTTAATGATATACAACAGAGCGATTTAGCTCGCTAAATCACGTGACCTAAAGTGGGCATCAACCCCCATATCAACGTGTGTCTTGAGTATTGTTTACAAACTATAAAGCCAATTTACGGGCATATTACCCGGCACATCAGTAGTCTGACTACGGTTCCTACCATTGGCTTTATTTTTTTGGTAAATGATACTTATTAATCACTTTGCTTTTGGTAGACGGCATGTTTGTAGATATGTAGTACCCACTATAGTTCACGGGATTTAGTGGGCCCAATCCGTCTATAATGTATTCAGAAATTTACCCGACAATCTTTCCATACTTCTCTCTATATTCATCCAAAGCCTTCCATATTCCCTGTATTAGTGAGAAAAAAAAGAAGATGAATGGATGGTACACAGATGACCCGGGGGTTAAAAGTTTCGAAAGTCATTTAAGTTCAGCCTTGTGAACTTGGAAATTGACGGCGCGGAGTCTATACCGAAAGGTAGGGAGCCATTATACCGTTAGCACAAAGATTGAAAGTCTATGAAATAGAGACAAGTTCTACATTATACAAGGGCTGCACCTTAGGTGAGACGGACGGGAATGCATGGAGGTAACACGTGGCCATTTAATAAGCTGATACTGTATAGGCCTATCCGTAGAAAGACCATCATACTTTTCCTTATCTGACACTTCTAAACAGGAAAAGAAAATCACGTTAAATTTACAGAGAGTTCGTAGCACTACGATATTGGCCCTTGGCTGTCATTTTCATCCATATTCCTGTCCTCCCGATTTTGTTTGTAAGCCGCAAAAAGTGACAGTCGTCTGCACCCAGGGTCTATCCGACGAATCCCCCCAAAAAAGTCACGGTCGGAGTTGTAATGACTCGAGCCATTGCCTCTACTCAAGTCTAATTCGAGTGGCATTTTTGGCGACTCAGCTCGACTCGAATCCCGACGGATATTAATTACTGGACTCAGTCACTTGGAGCAAATGACTCAATTCGACTCGAGCCCCCATCAGAAGACTCGACTCGAGTGAAAGATAATAAGCTCGAGTCCCAGGAATAAAAGCAAATAGCGAAAATGCATTAACTTGCAGTGCCGACTTACAATGCTATAATCAAGAGTAGGATAGGTGTGAACACATGTCACCCAGAGGCAAACTTAAACATGCCGAAATGTCGTTCTTATTTCCTTTGATGTGTGTACTGTGTTCAAATTGACTGGACTGAGCTAAAAACGTGACTTGACTCGACTAGACGTTTTGGCATAGTGACTCGGTTCAATCCGAGTCTCTATATTACAAAGACCCAACTCGAGTCACTACGTTACAGTGACTCGACACGACTTGAGTCACTACGTTACAATGACTCGACTCGAGTCACAAAAATTAGTGAATCGTTGCAACTCTTGACTTACGGTGTGCTCTCTCTTTGGCCGTCATGGGGTAAGTTACGATTAAGGACCATGGTTAAACAGTCGCTAGTCGACGATGGTTGGGTTAGTCTAGTAAGCTACATGTATTCAAGACCAACTATCGCGGTTCAATGGTCGCATCGTTGGTTGCCACAAACAGTTTCAGTAGCACATGAACAAGACAAATGCTGGAAAAACAGTATGTCACTAGAAAACGTTCGCACATCATCTTCACTGCACATGCGCTAGGTAAATCACGAACCAATCACTATTTAACAGTCGTCCTTGATCGAACTTGCCTATTTGTGTGGGAAAATTGCAACTGCGTACACACAACATTTCCAAAAAACAGGGTCATTAGGAAACAAAGCACACCCACGAGTCTGCGTAGGACAGGCCTAGCAGGCGCGTCCGAATGACCTCAGACGTGCTTTTAGAAGCATGCACTGTTGGAATACGAACTAGCTCACTTAAGTAAAAAGTACCGATGCACGTGGCAATCTTTAGGAGGTGACATCAATTAAGAGAGACCCGATGCTATCATAATTCAATAGTTTGAAGCAAAACGTCATCTTACATCACGCATGTTATGACTGCTGCCAAAGAAGGGGATGTAGTTTACCACGGGGATGCCTCGTCTTTGGAAGTACTGATGACACCACCAATCATACCTGCGAAAATTTACAGATTGCATTTTAACGATGAAACTTATTTCTCCAGGGCAGCAGCAGTGCCATACATGATTCGAATTTGATATGAATACACATAAGATTAGCTTCAGAACTAACAGGAAAAAACAACATTTTGACCGATTGTTTATACTCGGCAGTGAGGTACTTTTTCTAGATCGACCAACGGTACCTACCAAGCAAATATGAGCACCGTACCGACAACCAGAAACAATGTCATCGACACTCCAAACCCGAACACCTCCATGTTTGACTATTCTACCAAGTGCTGTCCCTTTGTAGAAGCAATAATGATTAATAATGACGGCAATGGACGTGGATATTAGCTGAAGTTATAATTGGACAAGGAAGTCTAGAACATCGCACCCGTTGGATGAATCCATTCACGGTGGGGGGATGAACTAGTAATCTGTCCTTCCATTGGATGAACTCTCAAATTGCGCGTTACCTTCCGATTCCATGGTTTCGTGTAGCTCTATGTGCAGTTGGCGTGGTATGAACTGAAGTAACGTCACATTTACGAACCGTATAGGAAAGTGCACATGTATTAACAAAACGTGCTTGGCTATATGTCATCATGTTTTGATCGGTATACCGGTAACCAACGAACGAAACGCCCCATCTAGAAAACACATTCTGTAGAGTAGCATCGCTACCAACCAAATTAATACTCGCGACCAACATGACTCTTTCAACCGAAGAGCGGGTGCTAATTCTGGTCGAGGTGGATACGTGGTACGCACTTAATTATCACAACATGGTTTTATTTTATTATTATTATATTGTCAGGCGGGACATCTCGGCACACGGTCGACATGCTAACTACCTCAGAACTCGTACGCACAGACTTCAATGCTCTGCAGTGAATACTTCCCCCAATATTGGGATCACCTGCCTGATTCACTGAGGTCTGGGGTGGTTTTTGTCAACTGCCAAGAAGCCGAACAACTCCTGGCACGTGCCATTGATTAAGCATTGTTCTGTATTGCAATGTGACCGTCCGTTTTGTCCTGTTTTTGTGTTCTGTCAAATAAAAAATAATGAATAAACAATAATACTAATAATTCACAGACTCGGTCATTCAAAGGCGCCAGTAAATTTTCACAGCTTGGGACACTCCTTACGTACATTCATTATGTGCCCACTTTTTGCTATCCTGCGAGTAGAGGACTGACAGTCGTGTCCTCCATCTTTGATTTCTATCCCCACTTTTTACCCACAATGCACTGAGGTAAAACCTGCGTTGTGTCATTATGTTTGAGGTCTATTAATTTCGACAGTGATGTCTACTTTACTGATTGGAAATCAACAGATCCGCATTCAACCCTGGAGATAAAAAAGTCATTTGCCTCCAGAATCATGACCTTTGATTCTTCTTGTGCTCCCGCCATTTTGTATTACGAAAAATGTCCATCCATTTCAATTTAAGATTCGTCATAATATATGAAAGTTCTTTGAACTAGCCATACAGTCATTATTGCCTTGTTTACGTTGACAGCCATATCTACAGTGAACAGTGCAATTGTACACCTTTAACCTTGCAAATGTTGACTGTACTAAATTTAAGCACAGGGTCACGCAACCTTTATCCCAGGAAAGCAGTGTAATTTATGCATTGAGGATGATTTTAAACAAATTACCTATGAAAATATGATTTTGTTTATGACCTTTTACCACAGCTTAAATGCATCCTAACACATTTTGAAATGCAAAATGAACTTAAAAACGTAATGGCATTACAACGATTTTACAAAAGTCTACCTAAACAAATGTGACAATGTTTTAAACGAAGTGAAACAATGTCGGTAACTATGTTAATAATTTGTTTCTCAAGCAAAACAATAACGATGTCATCGTGATATTTATCGCTACAGTCAAAGGAGCAAAATAACCAATCTTTACGTAAACTTGACAGCAAAAGCAGGAAAAGATATTGGACAGTATCTGGTAAAATCAAACACTATACACTGGTAATCATAGTTTATGGAGTGAAAACGATCTAATATGCAAGACAATAACACTCACACGATGGAAGAATAAATTTAACTCTGCTCATGTGACTTGTAACTAGCCAATTTCTTTAAAAAAACGAACTGAAAAACTATTCACGGACATTACGATTTTCTGTCCATTGGTTCTACACGTTTTCTAGTAAGGTTTTAATTGAAGATATTGATTTTGATGCATGGAATATATGGGAAATTGAAACAGTGCTGTCGTAGATTTCACAAAAGCATTGTCGGACTATAGCCTAAATTAATCGAATATTTTAACTCACTGCTTGTCACTTGTCCCTAAGCAGCAAAATGAAAAACAATTACAGCCATTTTGTATGCTGATTTTCTTTCTTTCTTTTCATTCCAATACCTTGCTTACGAAAATTAACAAAAATAAAATTTTCATATATAGGCCCTAACTAAAGTACCTTTCAATGGGCTTATCTGCAGCTTTTGAAGACAGTATGGTATAAATTGTACACAAATGAAATACAAAGTAATTATCCTTTTAGATTAAGTGTCCCTTGTTCAAACAAAATAAAGTTTAATATCCAGTGGTTAAAGGTTTCGCTTGTCAGCGCTTTGGTACTAAATCTAGGTAGTATGCGATAGAAGCTTTTTGTCTTTGGTATAAATATGTCTACAAAAGGGGAAATGCAACGTGGAGAGCACGCTAGTGGTCTAGACATTTTGAGAGCTAGTTTCTCGGGACGACGTTCAACATCAGTTTGGCAGGGGCAAGGAGCAGGCCCTTACCCAGAGGAATTGGAATCTGAAAACAAGAGAAGGAAAAAAAACCAACGTTTCGTTTATATCAACTGCTTCTGTTTCTAAAACTGCACTAATTTCTCTGAGCAAAAACTCCGGTTGAAAACAGGATCGTTTCTTTTTCGTCTTACCTCGGTTTCCGAGCTGACATCAAAGCGATACTGTTGCATTATGCGCACCAACGCCATCTTGCCTTCCATCAAAGCAAAGCGCATACCAAAGCAGATTCTGGGGCCAAGGCCAAATGGCATGTAGGTAAATGGTTTGATGGAAGCCTTGTTCTCAAGACTAAATCTGTGATCGTGAAATATGACATCAAACACAAAGGTGAATGTAGGGTAGTAACTTTGTTGGAAACAAATCGGAAACAGGGCAGGCATTAAACTCTGAAGCACATTGAAAAATGCTCTTTCATTTCGTAAAATTTCCATTGTGAAGAATTTAAAACTCTAAATCGCTGTTGCAACTAAACGCAATGGCAAAGCAATCTGACTGTATTTCTTCTTTCGTCCAAAGATAACGGATAATCCTCATCTGAACTCTTCACAAAGCTGAAGAATTTAGCTCCACATCCGCTCCCGCCTGTCTGTCCAGACGCTTTCAAATTTCCCGTTTCGGTTATTTTCTTTTACCTTTCGGGATCAAATTTTGTCGGGTTTTTCCAGTATTCTTCGTCACGATGAAGGCTCCAGACGGGTACGAACACAGCAACGCCCTTTTCAATGACAAAGCCATCACAGTTCACGGTGTCGTTGCACAAGCGATCAAGACTGAAACGATTATCAATTTAAAGAGACAATTGGTGTAACAGGTGGAATGCACTCTTCTGACACAAGTTGTGTTGATTGTGGTACATGTAAAAAGATTTAAAGACGTGTTGGTAAAGTACACCGCTACTTTCGTATTTAACTACAGTTTGGGCAAAATTAAACTAAACAAGATTAAAGCAAACGTAAGTGGAAAAGTAAGACACTAGGTGTCATATTTCGTCTCGTGGAAAACACATTTTATACGGATACTCTTCTGTACCTAGAGAATCTCTTTAAAATTAAGGACCACCAAGGAGGGTAAGTCACACTCGGCAATGGGCGTAATCACACAAAAGACGCCTACAATAGCTTCGGTTGATTTCAAAGTTTCTCATTCTTACAAGATTACTGGAGGATACATGCGCAGTGATTCACTGATCACCATATCCAGATACTCCATCTTGGCGATGACGTCATAGCCAAGGTTGTCCCTTGTGGGAGCGAGGTTGTCAATCTCAGCGTGTAGCTTCTCCTGCACGTCTTGGTTGGTAGCCAGCAGGTAAGCGGTGAAAGTCAGCAGCGAGTTGGTTGTCTCGTACCCAGCCAGGAAAAACTGAACCCCCTGAAAATTAACATGTATACCGTGACTACCGATCACGTTGTCGGGGCATATTCATGATTTAAATACAAATATACCTCAGATATTATACGCCTTGAGATTCAATTACAACAAACCAACCAAGCAAACCACCACTATAAGCCAACTTTGATTTTGTCAATCAATGGGCGCTTTTGCCTGGTACCCAGAATATCTTTTTGTATAGGTCTGTAAAGATGGTTGACGGCAAAGGATTGCGAGTGATTGCAGAAGATGCACGCCAACTTGCTCCTAAACTATCCAGGGCCTGTTTGTTTCGAACGGATCTGCATCTCGACCAGTGATCCTAACACTGGTTCATATCACCCATTAAGCAAGTTGTTGTGTCAGTAAACAAACGACGGATTACTAATTGTGATTCAGATCCAGGTGAAATAAACACGCCCTTGAAATCTTCGCCACGTCGATATCCACACTGAGCCACAATCACCTGAGCCATTATGTCCTCTGTTGAGAGGGGTTTGCGTTGGGCCACGCCACCCTCAGGCCCGCTCTCTGCAGTGGGCGTGTCTTCTGGATCAGTGCCAGGGTCATTGTGGGCGTTCAGCATCAGCTGAAATAAGTCGATGCGCTCCTGGAGGAGAGAGTTGGGCTGTGATATACTCTTTGACTTGGTATAATTGGTTGACAATTTGAAATTGAACAAAAAGTCTTTAAGTTGCGTGAAGTTTGCTTACTCTGTCAAATTCTGGGGCAATTTCTACAATACTTCACAAAATTTAGACTGATTACTGTGGAATAAGGCATTTGTTTGGTTTGTAAACTTTTTATTTTGTTTCGTCTCTTGTTTTCCATAAACTGAAGACAAGCCCGCCGTGGGGATGAAATCATTTTTTCTATGAATTCAGTATTTTATTCATTGAGTTTCCTAAGCTCGTTTTCAGCAGATAAAAGCTACACTGATTATTTGTATGTGACTTACTTTAGAAGCTGTTGCCCCTTCCTCTTCACGCAATTTACATGTAGCCTCTGTAACATCCTGGAAAAACTTGGCAGCCTTTTTGTCAAAAGCCATGTCCACTCCCAAGAAGCCGAACAAGCGTGCCAGTACTGGAAAAATAGCTACGAAGAAAGACAAACCCTTTGATTCTCAAATGTCATTTCTCAATTTCTGTGATTTTAACCGAATAACTGAATTCAAAAAATGACTGCTTCTGGTATTGTAACAGACAACGCACAGTACTTTTTAAATATGGCCGCTGCTAACCGCTAGCATTGTGGCTTGAACCCCCGATCAGCAGTTGGTAAAACGAGCTAGGCTTTGTCTTCCTTGTGCTCACGGCGTTTTGTCTAATTGTTCAAAAAGACGACCAGTACTGTGAATTCAGCGTTGAAATTCTCAAGAACTTGTATAAACGTGAACCTTGTTGAGTTAGATTACCAAGTTAAGCCTATCAGGTAAGCAACCAACTCACCGCTGAGTATAATATGAGGTCCTCTGAGGCGTCTAGGGTCAAGAAAAATTCTCGCATTCTGCACAAAGGGATCGTCTTTGTCCTTCTGTGAGTCTACATTCAGACCGAAAGCACAACGTGCGATGACATCCATAGTGAAGGCACCGAACAGCCTAGAATGGTAAAAACACTGGGTTTAACGGAGAGACAGGCTTGTTAGACTTCAGTCACAAGTTCGGAACACGATTGTGAAAATAACAGCGGGAATAACAGCGTCAGACATAGTCTAACTATGACTAAGTCCCAGTTTGTCAAACCACATTGAAAGAGCACTTGTACAGAAAATATGTTTGCTATCTATTCAAATAAAAATGGCAGCATCCACATCGGACGCAGTGTCATTTGTCTCAGAAAAAAACTATAACAAGCTAAAGAGGGCTTTTTTCTGTTCTTACCAAGATGCAAACTCTGAATGTAGATTGCGTCACAGATCATGAGTAGAAAACAGAGACAATGAAGCGAACCCTAGCCCTGTGTTCACAGTGGATAATCCCTTGCGCATGCCAAACAATGGCTATAAACAATGGTTAAAAAGCCCTTTTGAGCTTGTTATGGTTGAGCTCTGAAGTCAAATGACACTGCGTTCGATTTGGATGCTTCCGTATTTATTTGAACAGATAAAATCAGAGAAAAATGTTTTCCTTAGAGTTGCTCTTTAAGACGATCATAGTGATGCCCTTTTCTGAAAACCACAAGTAGAGTGATGTCTTGGATTTGCTTGAGTGCCTCTTCCACAAAGTGAGCGCGAGGACTCCGTCCAACTTACGCTTTGCAGTCGACTGCCTTGCCTCCCGTTCGTGCCTCACTAATACTTGTGATTAGAGTATCACAACACTCGTTGATCACCGGAGACATCTGTGGGAAACAAAACTGTGTCACCTTTTTTGGCTTTGATTCCTTTACCTTTTCTGAATTTTGATGTCCTATACATTCTATAATTGAGGGAGTAGCGATATTGATTTTATCCTGTATAAAGCTTAAGGGTCCTCTGCAAATTATGAACTCAAAATGTAACCCACTGGAAACTGTGGGCGAGGAGTTTCCCTATTTGCTATCATGTAGTGAAATTAAAAAAAAATGTACTAGCAACAGAGAACTGACTGAGGCAAAATTCCACATAGGCACATCCATTTCCGATACCAAAGCAGTGTTTTATTGCTAATCTGCCCTTGTCAACCAGGAGAATCTGCATTAGCTTGAAATCAGAACGGCGCAGAACCACTCCTAGAATACTTCTTCCAATGACGAGTAAAGCGATGATATACTTTACTTGTTTCATCTTAGCCCCAGTCAACGACGGCGTCAGTGTGTTCCGAATGTTCTTCCAATCTCCATCTTCCAAGAAAAACATACCTCTACCGACAGGTGAACGGTCATAACGGACCATTGGCCTTTTCTGCATAGAATAAGAGGACAGACGCAATCTAGTCACGATTAAGAAAGCCTACTTTACGAGTTCCTTAAAGTTTCCCTTACAATGAGGATGGGCAGTAACTTATTGCACTGCACCAAAGTCGACTCCTGCACACTGAAATATTTCTCAAGGGCTTAAAAAAGAGGATAAAACGGTGTTATTACTTCAAAACTCCACCGTATTCAATGTAGCAGAAGCAGTGGTAAGAACAGCTGCAAGAACACAGCAGCAGGAGCGTCAACAACTCCAGTCGTAGGGACAACTGAAATAACAATAACATCAACAGCAGTAACAGCAACAGACAACAGTAACAGCAACAACAGTAGCAGCAACAACAGTAGTAACAGCAACAGCAGCAACAACAGCAGCAGCATTGGTTACAGCAGCAGCATTGGTTACAGCAGCAGCAAAAGCAACAACAGTAGCAGCAACAATAGTAACAGCAACAGCAGCAATAACGGCAGTAACAGCAGCAACAACAATAGCAGCAACAACATTAGCAGCAACAACAGTAGTAACAGCAACAGCAGCAACAACAGCAGCAGCATTGGTTACAGCAACAGCAACAACAGCAGCAGTAACAACAGCAACAACAACAAAGACAGCAGCAACAACAGCAGCAACAGTGGTTACAGCAGCAGCATCAACAACAAAAACAGCAGCAGCAACAATAGCAGCAGCAGTGGCTACAGCAACAACAGCAATAACAACAGCAACGACAGCAGCAGCAACATTAGCAGCAACAACACCAACAACATCAGCAGCAACAACAAGAACAGTAGTAGCAGCAACAGAAACCAACAACAGCAGCAACAACAGCAGCATTAATAGCAGCAGCAACAGCAGCAACAGCAACAACAGCAGCAACAACACCAACAACAGTAGTAATAGCAACAGACACTAACAACAGTAGCAACAGCAACAACAGCAGCAGCAACAATAGCAACAGCAGCAACAACACCAACAACAGCAACAACAGTAGTAATAGCAACAGACACTAACAACAGCAGCAACAACATCAACAACAACAGCAACAACAGTAGTAATAGCAACAGACACCAACAACAGCAGCAACAACACCAACAACAGCAACAACAGTAGTAATAGCAACAGACACCAACAACAGCAGCAACAACACCAACAACAGCAACAACAGTAGTAATAGCAACAGACACCAACAACAGTAGCAACAACAGCAGCAACAAAAGCAACAATAGCAGCAACACCAACAACAACAGCAACAAGCAGCATCAGCCTGAGCAAAAATTTAGCACAAGCGGAAGAACTTGAAAGAAACATTAAAGTTTACCCAACGGTTGTAAAAATTGGAGAAACTCTTGACCAGGATATGCTTCAGTATTTCAGGGTCACTGACGACCAGAACCGGTTGTCTAAATCCGTACATCCTAGCCAAGAATGAATCACAAAAGGAAAAGAAAAGTTCCAGGGAATTATTAATCTGCTTCATTCAACATGATGAGAGAATGGGATGACATGTAATCTAATATTGTACAATTTTCCTGTCAAAATTCAACTTGTATAAACTTCTCGTAACGATACAGAATAATTCATTCAGAAATTTACCCAACCACTTTTCCATGCTTCTTTCTGTATTCATCAAAAGCCTTCCATACTCCCTGTGTTTATAGACAAAGAAAAAACGAAGAATAAATAATGGACGGTACTTGGAGGAACCCTGGGGGTTAAAGTTCAGGAGGTCATTCAAGTCCAGGCTTAAAGATATGGCAAATTGACGGCAGGGGGTGAGCCAATTCAGGTAAGCACAAAGAACGAAACTCTCGATAAACACACACGTTCCCTATTCTGCTCTCTGGTGACACAGAAGGGAATTTATGCATTGGTTGTAATACGCGATTGATGAGGCTTATAATGTTTACTCGAATAATGATCACATAATTTTGTCCTTCCCAATCCGAAACTTCTCTACTGAAAAGAAACTCACATCAAATTTTCAGAGAGTTATCGGCTCTTGGCTTTCATCTTTATCCAGTTTGTTCTACATCCCCTTTGTTTTCTTCAGCACCCCCCCCATCGACAGTCATGCGCACTCCGGGCTTCACCGACGACCAACAGTCACAATGGGATCGGTGTATAATTTTGCTGATCCGATCACAATTTAAATATTATTTGAAACAAAACATCATCTTACGTCACGCAAATAATAACTACTACCATAGACGGGGACGTAGTCGGCCACGGGGATGCCTCGTCTCTGGAAATAGTGATGACACCACCAGTCATACCTGGAAATTGACAATATGCATCTTGACAATGAAAACTATGGACAGCACCGGCAGTACACATGAATTGAAACTCATGTAAAGGGACTAAAAATAGCTTCTGAACTCCGGAAACTGAGACCGCTGTTTCGGCCTTTTCTTAATACTCGGCAGTGAGGTAGGCCCTACTTTACCTGGATTGGCCAACAATACCTACCAGGCAAATATGAGCACCGTACCGACAACCAGAACCAATGTCATCGACACTCCAAACCCGAACACCTCCATGTTTCACCGCTCTCAGTGCTGAACGTAGTCCCGCTTTATAGTCGCGATGATGATTAATAACGGCAATGAATCATGTTTGGTTTTGTCGACCGAAGGTCATTGAACAAAGCATTGAATTTTTATTCATTACGCCTGTTGAATGAATCAACTGAAGGCATAGGGGTGCAGCGGTGTTCTGTTCTGTGTATCGTATATGCATATCCGCTTCCTTTTGTTTGCCAAACGTGGAGGCCAAGAACACTGTTCGTTCACGCTACACTATAATATTACAGGGGCATTGGTGCAGAAGCCTACATCAGGCAGGCATATTTATAGCTTTTCTTTTCTTTTCCCCTTTTTGAGTGACTGTATTAGCCGTTACGAAGACTTCCAACAATTTCTTCAGAATCTGTTTAGTTTTTTACACAGTTAATAAGTTCACACATAGAGAGGGGACATACCACACAGATGACATAATGACCGTGCACTGTATAATCACGACCTAAATATCGCTTACCTTGAACTTGATAAACTGCGCTGTTTTTGCCCTGATCAAGTCTCATATATGCCCTCCAAATAATGTCCTTTTCATATGCTGCAGGCCAGTCTCTAAATTTAACCGAAGAGTTTACTGGATAGGCTTACCATAATGGTATTTACCATTAAATTTGATATCGGTATGGCGCTTTCTTTTTCCCTCTGAATAAGTTTCTTATTAAGTCTTAATGGTCAGCAGCCTTCAATTCATTAACTTGCCTTGAGATAATATATTCGACATATCTTCACGCAATTCTGAAAACACAGTTTGTAAGGTACTATGCGATTGAGACTGGTTTGCAATGTCGTGATGTCATATTTATTGAGCTGGGCTTATAGGCAGAAAAAAGGGTCAAATATTAAGCAAACGCACCCTCCCCCCAAAAAAAGCTTTGCTGAACCACCTTTGACCGCTTAGGCAGAGGGTTTAGAGGCAAATGCATTCTGCAGTTTCTTCGTCGCTCATGTAATCCCCAAGGTTTTCAAGGGCGAGAAATTGTCTTCAAAGTGACGCAGTTATTTGTTGTGTTTTTGAATCACGATAATTTTTCAGTACAATAAAACATTTCTTTTTACACTAAACCAGAAAAATTTCCAAATCTGACATTATGATATATGAAAATCTGACGTATATGCATTAGACGCAAAGCCAAACGATAAAGCAAACTATTTTAAACATGATCCAACCCTTGATGACTTTATATATCATACAGCTAGGTCAGCAAAGCTTCTACAGCCACCCGTACAGGAGGTAATTTACAAAGCCCCGCCATTCAAAAAAAATAGATCAATGTACAAATGCAAAATTGAAACCATTAAATTCCCTTTCTGCAACATAACCATTCTGCTTTCTGCTGATGATGCAGAGAAAAATCGTTTATAGGCCTAATGTTGCCAGATATGTAATCTGCTTTAAACTTGCAGTTCAAATGCGGCTTGTTGACATTAAAGGTACACATGTAAAGTTCACTCCAAGCAAGATCGAAACATAAATCAATTTCAAATTTATCTACAAAAAGTCAATTCTAATCAAAAAAGTCCATTAAGATAAAAACTGTAAAGCCACATCGTGTTTATGGTAATTATATTTTATCATTACTTTAACAGTGCGCTCAGTATAATCAAGACTACTGAAAAATAAAAATAAAAAGGTGATTACTATAAAAATCACTTGAAGCAGTGAGTTTGACCCCTCATTACTCTAAAGTCGATTTTCTTACCTGGAAAGAAGGATTTAGTTGAAACAGAAACGTTTCAGACTATTTATTTGTACAATGAAGGGGTCGATATACTTCTTGTTGCCGAATTTCTTGTTGAAAGAATAGTGTTCAATGATATTTCAGAGCAATTCTTTCAATAAGATCTTGTAGGGTTGCTGAATGGACACTAGTTGGGATGTAAGGAACACAGGCTGGATAATCTAGTTCCTCGGTATAACCTTCAACTTGATACTCTTGGGTGATAGAAGTCCGGCTTTTCCAAGGGTCGGAGGAATCTGAATAAAGGAAAACAAACACTATGCTGCTATTAAAGGAACTTTTTACAGCCAATACAAGCTCTGCTCAGGATTTGTCGCTCCAAAGATGTATCCCTCAGCTAAAAAGCATCTGGCTTTTCAGATTTCACAGGAATATTGGCTGAAGTATCTTTCACTTTCAATGCTATGGTCTAGTTTACCTCGGTCTCCGAGCTGACATCGAAGCGATACTGTTGCATCACACGGACCAGCGCCATCTTGGCTTCCATCAAGGCAAAGCGCATGCCTATGCAGTTACGGGGACCAAAGCCAAACGGCAGAAAGGTACATGGCTTGATGGTAGCCTTGTTCTCAGGGCTGAACCTGGAACCAAAAATTTTCCCAATTCCAGTAAATACTAAGCTATAAATACGGATATAAGTACCTTTCACTGTCGTCTGTTTCTTGATGCGCACGTTCGGGGTGAATGGGTACGCAGATACAAGGAGTCATATATATATCGTGGCATTGACATTGGTCGCAAGAGATTGCAACAGGTTGTAACGAGTTATGACAAAATCGTGTTAAAGTACGTCTGTTTACCTTTCGGGGTCGAAGTTGGAGGGATTTTCCCAGTATTGTTCATCATAGTGAAGCGTCCAGGTGCTTACAATCAAGTGCACGCCCTTTTCAATGGTTAGGCCATCGACAGTCACGGTGTCGTTGCACACACGATCAAACCTACGGAGCGCATCAAATAAAGCAAGTTTACTGGATGGACAGCCGAGTGATTGTTTGTAAAACCAAACCCCGTTTTAGGAACTTAGTTTGAAAAAAAATTGGCATGTTTACAAAAGCACTGTGAGAACGAACATGTGGCACATTAGAAAAAAGGGAAATATTTCAAAACTTCTCGAGTAAAGAACCAAGGTATCAACGCGCGCTACGTGCCCTCAAATACTTCACAAGTCTGACACCATGTCAAATCCAGCTGAAAGTTTAACGACATCGGTACAAGTTTGCTGATATGGGAATTTTTGAGACTGGAAGAGGTAACTGGTTAATCGTAAAAAGCCATCTACGCCCAAACCCCAACCGGTTGGCACTCATAACGATGTATTAATATACATTGTGACAGACAGAGTATTCTTACACTACGGCTGGAGGGTACATGCGCAATGACTCGTTGATGACCATGTCCAAATACTCCATCTTGGCGATGACGTCATAGCCAAGGTTGTCTCTTGTGGGTGCGAGGTTGTCAATCTCAGCGTGTAGCTTCTCCTGTGCTTCTTGGTTGGTAGCCAGCAGGTAAGCAGTGAAGCTAAGCAGCGTGTTGGTTGTCTCGTACCCAGCCAGAAAGAAGATGAGCGACTGCAACATTTCGAGAGATACGAGCAAAAGGAGGCAAAAAATAATAGTTTCGAATGAGGTTTATTACGTTGGTTTCTTAAGATCCTGCTACAATATTACCTAAAAGATACCATGATTTAAGAGGCCAGACGTCGGCATTCTGAGATACGATGAATGATGAAAATGAGAAATAAATACTATTAAAGTGACATTAGAAGACAAAGTATCTTAAGTTGCATCATTCTGTCTAAAAGTAAAAATCACCTGAGCCATGACATCTTCGGTTGAGAGGGGTTTTCGAGGGGCCACGCTCCTGTTCAGGTTGTCCTCTGGGAGAGAAGTGCCATTCTGTTCGAACTCGTCGTCGTTGTGGGCGTTCAGCATGAGTTGCAGAAGATCGACACGCTGTCAAAATGGCGTAAAGAGCAACGATCATAATAATCTAACACACTTTGCAAGAACGGAAATTTCTATTCAGGTATGTATTGGTAAGTCCATCCTTTTTTTTGGAATTCTACAACCGAATTGATCTTTTTCCCTCAATTGCTTTTTGACGAAGACTAAACTCTGGATCCCAGCTACGTCAACACCATCTACCTTTGATGCTTGAGACCCCTCAGCCGATCGCATTTTGCACGCAGTCTCCGTAACGTCCATGAAAAACTTGATGGCGTCGGGCGGAACCGGGTTAATTTTCAAGAAGGCAAAGACATGCTTGAGGAACGGGAAAGCACCTGCCGAAATGTTGTTTAGCAAAAAGTTGTTAAAGTAGCCTGTTCTTTCCGGATGATCGCTTTGAAGACTCCCTTAGGAATCTTTGACTACACACATTCAGGAAAGGCCTTATTTACTGAAATTAGAAGCAACTATTTCACTTTCTTCAAACTGCAAAATGTTTTGTTCCGTGACCTTCTGTTACATATCGGCTATAATGAACGATAATCAGTCATAAAAATTGATTGTTGGAATCGATTAAGTATGACATGCCATTTCCGAAGGAGCCGTTGATGGCGATGGAATAAGCCTATTCCATTGAGAATTTTCCTTGATATCGCAACAGTGCATTAATTAAAGACCCGATCCTTCAGGAGTTTTAGAGTACGTGCTCAATGCAACTTTTGACCGAAACAACGAACCCACACGAAAGACTGAGTTGAAACTCCAGGCCTGTCGTAACATGCATGCCCAGTTTATGGAAAATCGGACATATTGTACAGCCGAATTCTTAGGGGTGGAATCCGGCCCCCGGCTCTGAGATAGTCCAAAATAACCTGGCCCATTTAGGGTAAATTACTTTGAGAAACTAACAACAAATAAATGATTGATAGAGATACGATGACACTTTTTACTTTCAAACGAGAGCATCTTGGAATCAAAATGTGCAAGGCCGACTTTTTTTAGCGTTACGTGATCAGTCAAGGACTGCTGAGTGAGAGATAAAGAACCTCAATTTTCCTGGAGCTAGGTCTCATGAACTGTTCGGTTGAAATGTTCTGTTAGTTAGTTGCATACTTATGAAAACATTAATGCATCCTTTTTTAGGATAAACTCACAGAGTAACAAAACAAACGGATTCATCCTCGTAAATGCAAACGCTTTCTTCGCATACTTGACAAAAGGGTCGTCCTTGTTCTGTTGGGAGTCAACCTTGACCCCAAAACCGCAACTGGCGACCACGTCCATTGTAAAAGCCCCAAACACCCTGAAAAGAAGACAAAGTTAAATGAACTCTGGCCTTCATTTAGATGCACTACAACATTTTCCAACCTGCAGGAGCGATAACTTACTCTCTGCAATCCACTGCCTTTCCTCCAGCCCGCGATCTGCTGAAATTTGTCACCATAGTATCGCAACATTCATTGATCATCGCAGACATCTGGGATGATTGCAAGATAACACAGAAAACATAAATCTCAAAGTTGAAAGTAGCATGTAAATGTCATTCCACGAACTCACGTGACCTACTAAAAAACCTGAGCAAAGTTGCGTAGAAAAACAATCTCAGTACGAAATACAATGTAGAGCAAATAAACAGCTTTCTGAGAGGACAAAATTGGCCCCAATGAGGCCAATTTCATAGAGCTAGCTGCTTAAGTACAAAATTTGTTTAGGCGTAAAAAAAGTGCTCGAATCAGGTTACCAGCCCAAAACTCCAGTGTGATGTATATTGTTTTGGAATGGTATTCATCTGTCTTTTGGTTAGCATGACAATCACGTAGATTTTGAGCTGGTAGCCTTCGTTTTTTTAAGCAAGTTTTTCACGCTTAAGCAAATTATGTGCTTAATAAGCAGCTCTGTGAAGTTAGCCCACTTGAGTGTCAACAGATATTAAATCTACAACACTTGACAAAATTTGGCTAATGTCGCCAGTTTGGACAAGAGCACGGTGAATCTTGAATCGTCTTGCCCTTGACATTTCAGTGCTAAATAAAACAGAAAAACAAAGCAAAAGCCAAGAAATGGCGACTGAAAAAAGGCAAGGCAAGGGTACCCTTTTCATCTTGGAGGCACTGAACGACGGAGTGATCACATTACGAATCTCCTTCCACTCCTCGTCATCTAGCCGAGTCAAGCCCCGATTAAGTGGCCGCTGGGATAGTGGAATTTTCTGCAGGAGGCAAGAGATGTATCGGTCGCATATAAGCAACGTATTCCTCAGGTGTAAGGGAAGTATATAGCTCAACAAACAAAACTCTTCAACAGTGTCCATTTATAATCATGTTTTCCCCTCAAACCAGTAGAAAGAAGAAATAGTCTCGACAATCCAGGCCCTGAAGATTCTTAGAATTTCCCCAATTAACCTCTGACAATAGGCAGAGCATGGTGAGCAAAGAACATCTCACCCGGCGGTTGCAAAAACTGGAGAAGTTCTTGACAAGAATGTTCTTCAGGAGATCGGGATCGGTGATGATCAGGACTGGTGTTCGGAAGTCATACGTCCTATAAGAATTCAGGAAGGAATCAAGACAGATTCGTTCTTATTTGTAACTGACTTTCCAGGAAAACACGCCCGTTTCCCTCTCATAAAATGGTTTGTGATCAAACTTTGTAGAAATCTTGATTAGGCCCTATGTCTTTCAAATAAAAGGCACGAAACGAGGACAAATGCTGATCACATTGTTACATTACAGGAAATCTGATATCTTATTATACCAAACCAATCATCCTTTCCGAGTCACACTGGTTTCAGCTTATCACGAAAAAAGTTCAAACGCAAAACTACGTTTTGTTTACCGTACCCGACGACTTTTCCGTACTTCTTGGCATAATCAGTGAAGACGGTTTGGAATCCCTGTGGAAAAAAAAGGTAAAATGATGTAAGGTTAAAAAAAACAGGTTAGAATTTCAAAAAGTATATCAAGTGCTCTAGGGCTACGTCTTGTGAGTTAAGATGGGCCCGAAATTGTCCTAGTCACGGTGGCCTCTTTGGTAGTAACTGTGCATTGCTGGTTCACGAACTACTATGAGCCGTAAGCTTTGCGTGCTTATAGCTATCAAGAAAATGTACATTCCAGACCAACATGGCCCTTTTCAATATGAGGGGATGCTCCTCCTCAAGGCTGATTACGTGGTCAAATGCAGAAATCTGACGTAGACGTTGCTCGATAATACACTGTCATTATCTTCATAATCAGGTCTGGTACAGATCCCATGGTATCATGACAATATTTCTTTTTCTTAGTTTATTGTGCGACTTTTACTGCAGTGTTCCAAACAAATTTTCCCTGCCCTTTCGAAATTGTCCCCGAAGTTTTATTTCCATGAAGACTAAAAATGTTTCGTTTAAAAAAAAAGGCAAACTTTTTTTATCTCCCTACATTGAAAAACAACCAAATTTTTCACACAATAAGGCCGTTAATTAAACTTAAAAACATGACACCTCTCCCTGTGACAAAAGAGAGGAACTACGCCTCTATGATGACCAATCTAAGGAAATTATAGAAACTATATGAGCTTTGACCAGTTCACATTGTTCGTATATCACCGTTGCTAACCCTTTGCGACTCAATACAGATCCAATGCAAACAATGCTGGGGCAACAGACAAAAAGTTAGGCCTAAGTACCACCAACCAAACACCGCTAACAAAGTTAATTATTCACAGGTCTCACCACACGGGTAGAGTCAGGGGAAAAACGACTAAGAATAGACTGGGACGGAGATTAAGCGAAAGATGCTGAAGTCAGATTCCAATCAAAATCTTACATGGCGCCACTGTAGGATGTTGCCAAAGAAGGGGATATAGTCTGGCACCGGGATGCCTCGTCTCTGGAAGTACTGGTGGCACCACCGATCATACCTGGAAATTGAAGGACAGTAGATTCTTGGACAGCAGAAACTATAGTTAAATTGACTATTTTGGTGAGAGGAGGCCTCTTGTGAACTTTTAACAAGGCTGTACCAATCGCTGCTTCCAGCCTATAACCTTGGTATCAAGTCAGTACTTGGTTTTGTGCTTCACGCGTGCACGCCACGATCTACGCGGACCACCTGTGCGCAGGGACGTTAGTTGCCTTGTCAATCTAACGACTTGTCATTAAGTCTAATTCCAACCCATTTCTCCAGTGGCGGCTGTCAACTTTACCTGGCAAGTTCAATTTCCCTATGTCCAGTGGTCCCTAAAGAGCGAGTGTTGAGCCAGAATGTGGTTAAATTATTGTCACTCTGTGTAAAAAAAGCAAGCTGCATTTCCTAGATCAGAAAGTTATACCGTCTGATGTGCGACTACGCATTTGCCAAGGTCACGGTAGACAGAGCAGTTACCGCGATGCAATGAAGAAATAAATGTTTTAAATATACCAGCAGGAGATCTTACCATGCCAACATGAGCACCACTCCGACAACTAACACCCAAGTTACCGACACGTCGAATCCAAACAGCTCCATATCCGTACGCTGCTACTGTACAGAAAAATTGAGATCAGTGTGACGACGTTGAATAACAGTGCCCAGAAGAAGCGAGCGCTTTTACGTGGGCCTTTCCGATCAAAGGTGAAGTCTGCCATGTCCGAGTGAATCGAGCTTTAATTGTTATGGCAGAGTCCTTACCCGAAAGGTGTACACTTAAGGGTCACACGACCTTTCCAGTAGACCTATTATCATCCGTTTTTCCAATGAACCCGTACGTCACACAATTTATGAATTGTATTGCACAGTGACATACACGGGGGGCAAGTTAGCATTTCGTTTTGGTAAATACAATTGTATAAAATGTATTGTTGTAAAATGTATATAAAGGATCTCATTATAAAAACTATGAATCAATTGAAATCATCCCCACGTTTTGATACCGCATGTTTAAGTGTTGGGCGATTTCAATACTAATAAAGAGTAATAACGCGTCTGTTGAAAACATTTACTTGATGAACTCAGAACCAAGAGTCACGTTCTCCAGCATATTTTGAGAGTGTGACGGACAAGAGGGCGCTATTTGGTTTGGGTGAATCGTTCTTTACTAGCAGACATATTACAAAGCTGTCTCATCAGTGGCGTATGGAATTCCATATCTGCCGTCGCCCATCGCCC